AGAGATGGTTTGGGATTCTATCCATCATTAGGCTGAAATCATAGAATGATTTGGGTTAGAAGGGACTTAAAGACCATCCGGTTCCACCCCTGCCATGGGCAGGGACACCTTCCACCATCCCAGGTTGCTCCAAGCCCCGTCCAACCTGGCCTTGGACACTTCCAGGGATGGGGCAGCCACAGCTTCTCTGGGCAACCTGTACCAGGGCCTCACATCCTCACAGGGAAGAAACTCTTCCTAATCTAACCCTCCTCTCAGTTTGAATCCATTCCCCCTTGTCCTGTCACTTCATCCCTTGTCAACAGTCTCTCTCCATCTTTCTTGTAGCTCCTTCAGGTCCTGAAAGGCTGCAGTTAGATCACCCTGAAGCTTCTCTTCTCCAGGCTGAACAATCCCAGTTCCCCCAGCCTTTCCTCCCAGCAGAGCTGCTCCAGCCCTCTGATCATCTTGGTGCCTCCTCTGGACTGGCTCCAACAGCTCCATGTCCCTCCTGTGCTGGTGATCCCAGGGCTGGAACAGCTCTGCAGGGAGGTCCCACCTGAGCTGAGGGGCAGAATCCCCTCCCTCGACCTGTTTCCCAAATATTCTTGAGTTTGTGGTGTGTGGCTTAAAAACACAGAGAGGTGAGATTTGTACCCCCAAGGTAGATGTTTGGAAATGCAGATGTTTAGAAATGTAGATGTTCAGATGCAGCTGCATCTCCTGTGATCAGGCTGATGGCTTTGTTCGAGTCAGACAGGCTGACTCCTTCCCAACGAACAGGGAAGCTCTTCCCTCAGCAAGTAGGCCACAGAATCTTAAAAGGAGAAAAGATATTGAAAGGAAAAAGAAATAAAAGACATTCCAGCTCTCAAACTCTGTTATTTCCATCTCTATGACCGAGACAGGAGTGAGCAGGAGCTTCAAAAATGCAGATTCACTCTCAGCACTTCAGTGTTGTTCTATAAAGATGGTTGTATGAAATATGTGTAAATATATATATATTAAAATGTATATTTAATATTTATTTATTTAATATAATCTGTATAAGATATATATGTAATACGTATAAGTATAATTAATATATATATGGACAAATGCCATTTTAATTCACATATATAAGAAATGCACAGCCAACAAGTATCCCATACAATTGCACAACCACCCCAGAAACAGTTATTTGACACCAACCCTGTAAAAACTAAGCAAATTAAAATGAAACTTTATTAAAAGTCTAATTTGGGGAGTAGGGACACACAAACACTGTAATAAGATATGACCATTTGACCTTATTTTTTTATTTATCAAGTGATGGGGTGGAGTTTCTCTTAGTTTCTTACTCCAGTTGAATTGTGAAGTTGTGACATTATATGATTAACTGAGAGTTGCTTTTCTGAGCCAAAAATGCCTCAGACAGCTCGTGGCTTGCTTTATGTTACTCTAAACTATTTTCATTAGCTTCCCTAACAAAACAAAAATCTTGAAAATGTCTTTATGTTTTACTCTTTAAAAAAGAAGTACTTTGAAATGAAACACGGGAAGGAAAAAATAGAAACAGTTTTGCTTTGAAATGTTGAAACAAAAAAACACCACTTTGAAGTCTGCTCAAACTCTTTTCCCTCGGATGAGAAACGATCTTGTGAATTAGATATAAATAGCTCTGTTGACCTGAATCTGCATTTTCCCACAAATTTGTTCTTACAGCCACACTTTGTCCATTGTCAGCAGTGCTAAAAATCCCGTCCTGCACACAGGGAGTGGCACAGGAGTTCATAAGATCCCATTTATTGCTATTAATGGAGCGGATATTTTAATATCTGCTTGTCTAAATGTATCTGAACCACTAAATCTTTCTGTTCATTCCTAGTGAACGGGTTTCCTACTGGTTTTATTTGCCTTATAGTTGAAGTTATTTTGACTCAATGGGCAACTAAAATCCTCAAAATTTCTGAATGTCCAAAAAATATTCTTCATTCCCAACATCTGTGTGGGAAGTAATTGTGTTTCCTATTACTTTTTAATTAATACAAACAAACAGCTGGATTTCTGATACAGTACTTCCAACAAAATAATTTTCCAGCCTACTTTGTGCCCACAATTTTCCTTTGCTGGTGATTTCCTTTCTGAAAGGTCTGAGTTCTCAAATCCAGATGTGCAGCATTTCCTCTGTCCTTCCTTTTCTCTCTCTCCTCCCTTTCCCTTCTGCCATTCCCACTGGGATGTCGGTGCCAGGCTCTGCAATATGTGCATGAGTTTTTCCAGGACAAAAGAACCAAGAATTTCCATGGATAATGAGGATATGAATGTACCAAGGGGTACAAATTTACCAGGATGATAAAAATTTCTTCCACTTTGGTGCTGCACTAAGTCAAAGAAGCTTCAAAATTATTTTAGGTAGATATAAAATCAAGTTTATTGGCACAAAAAACTTGCCATGTAGTGACTGTGCTCATTTTAAATGGTGTCTCCAGGCAATACTTAGTGCAGAACCGATTGCTTTTTGATTTTTGATTTGTTTAAAAACAACAATTCTAAATATGTAATAAATATTTGCAGAAGGAGTTGCTGCACACAGTGGTTTTGTGACTATTCAAATGTACTTTTGGATCTATATTGACAGATCCTCTGTAGCTTTGGAAAAATCCAGCTCTAATTAAGGCTACATATGCCAGGATAAAAGGATCATTTGTATTTTATGTATATGAAAGCAAATCTCTTCTTTCAAAGCAAGATGTTTGCTTGCTTTCTATTTTTTTTGTTTGTTTATTTATTTACTTCTATTTTTAATACCCTTTTTGGTTTTATATAATGTATGTATCTGACAACATTCCCTGCCTGAGACTAATTTAGAGGGAAAGGCAGACATTTTTATTTTTAGAGGCTTGATCTGAGTAAATGTTGAAAAATGTACAGTAAAGCCAAAGTTTCCTTTTCTCTTGCAGCATTTCTATTCTTGTGCTATTTCATAAGGGGATGGGATTTTTTTTGCCTTTCCTGGCTTGTTGTGAAGTCAACAGACCTCGACATGTTGACAACTTGCAGGGTTTTATTGTTAAGGGGGACACCAAGTGACAAAAACACACACTTAGATGTGCCTTCCATCGCTCCCTATTAACCTCACAAAGCATATTTGGAATCTGTCACTGATTGGATTGCGAGATCTTCATCTGCTGGAATCCTTTTCAATATATGCAAAAGGATTGCAAAACCAGAATCATCCAGATATTCCCAAACCATGCACAGCTCCACAGGAAAATGTTGATTTGAAGTGACAAAAGTGAAGGGGTGCCAGTTCAGGCAGCTGCAGATTCTCACATTTTGTAGCATGTCTGGTTTTTTGCAGCCTCACACATTTCTGGCCCCTCAATACCTGTCCTAAATTGGATAAACAGAAGGTGGAGTGACAGTGTCTCACAAGTGACTCCAAAGAGCAGAATTTTAGACCAGTTTTAGAATTTTTAGACCAATTTTAGACTGATTGAGGCCAGGTCTTGCAACGACTTCGAGGAGTCAAATTTTTTTGGAATCCACCTACGTTATCCAAATAGTAGAATTATTGTAAAATGTTTCCATTCAAATATTTCCCTTCTTGTACTTTCGGGGTCCTCAGCAAAGCTCAGAAAAATCCCACTTTTTCTGTGTGTAGAAATGGAGAGGGAGAGAAGGGGAGCACCTGATTAATAATTTTATGTGTGCAAAAAATTTATTTGGAAGCGAATTGTAAGGAGTGACAAAAACTTTGCTGCTTTATCCCTTATGTTTGGTTATTTTGGCAATCATAGCAACTGTCTTATATTATCCCTTTCTTTTTCACAATTGTGAATAGAAAACTTAAATCCATTTCAGCCTGTGTTGGGCAATGTCAGTGTGAGCTGTTCAACATCACATGTTTTAGTACCAAAGTATAGGAAAAGAGAATAAACGGGATTCTTGATCTCTATTCCTTTGTCCTGTGAGTTTTTCAACATGATTTTATTCAGAATATTGTGCAAAGTTTAGAAAAATACATCCAGTTTAGATTCAATCCATGCCTACAGCTGCTGGAGAGGGGGTGGGATGGCTCTGAGGGATGAAGAGATGACAAACCACCAGCAACGAGGGGGAAGCTCCATGTTAAATTTAGCCAATAATTAGTTCTAGATTTTAAAATTCTCATTGTACAGGCACATGCACACATATATATGATCATCCTGTCACCTCTTACTTGTACACTTGTAGGTCACATGAAATAAATAATCTTTCCACGTATTTTAATGACCCATCAAATCCCAGGATTCAGCGTTTCAAGCTCTCGCTGCAAAACCTGCTGCCTTACGTTTTTAATTTCCTTGAAATGTCCTTTTTTTTTCTTTTTTTTTCCCCCCTACCAGCGAGAATGTGCTAAAATGTTTATCAAGCCTTGCTCTTTTCCCTGAGAAACTCAAAGCATAATTACATTTCATAATTATCCAGCGTCGCCTGGAAGAGCCTCGTTCACCCTCTGGACCTGTTCCGTTGCTGTTCTATTTCTCGTGCAGAGAAATTCTCCTCAGCTTTACTGAAACAACATTAATCCCATCAAAAGTGACTCAGATAATGTCATCAGCTGTGACACAGTGTTCTCAGAATGTCCTGCTTCTGCTGAGGTGTAACGTCCTCTTAGGTGGAATTAAATTATGCCAAGAGGATTTTCTTGGTGGGAATAGAAAGGGGGCGTTTAGGTACAAGGTTGTTTAATTTCAGCTGATGGTTTATATATTCAAATATATATTTATATATTCAATTCAGCATGTTATGAGGTCATACCCCTCCAAATTGAATCCTGGAATGGTTTGGGTTGGAAGGGACTTTAAAGACTGAGTCCCATCACGAGCAGGGACACGTTCCACTAGACCAGGTTGCTCCAAGCCGTGTCTTTGAACACTGGAAATAATGAGGCACCTGCAACTTCTTCTGGGCAACCTTTGTACTTCACTTGATCTACCATCTCATCCTGAATCAGGATAAATGAATATGCTCTAATACTGGCTAATTTCTTGCAGCTGGAGAACCCGGGGTGCTTTATTCAGCTAGAAGTTGTGTGAAGATCTAAAATGAGGTGAGGAAAACCCCAAAATGGGTCACTTCAATAGAATCATAGGATAGAATCTTAGAATCATTAAGGCTGAAGGGGCTGATGTGGAGTCAGGACAAGGCTGGAGCCTTCTCCTGTGGGTTGGAGTTGTGGAGGGGGAAGAAAAGCTCCTGCAGGACCTGCAAACACTGTCCTGCTCTGGGAACATGTAGTGCCTTGTTCCTAAAGACCCTATCTCCCCATTGCCAAAGCAGCATTTTAGCTTATATTTGGCTCTAATATTGCAAAGTTTGCTGCTGTCCTACCACTGTGAGTAACCCCCACAGCTTCCCTGGGAGAACATCCCCCAGTGGAACCAACGGCGTGAGTCAAAACGCCATAATTTGGTCATCTGTTAGTTTTATTATCCTCCTAAATTATACTGCACTAACCTGTAATTTATGGAGTCCTGAGAGCACTAACTGCTGGATATATTGCCTCTGGTTGCTTCATTATCTATTTAAGATGCAAAGCAAGCCATTATGTTTGTTGTATTATCTTTGTCAAACTTTATTGCTTTCGTAGTTGGCGAGAGCTTTAAGTGTGTTCCACTACGGCTTCGTGGGCAATAATTCTTCAGGGTTTATTTCTAACCATCTCCTTTCTTTTTTTTTTTGAAGTGTAATGCAGCAATAGTTGTACTTACTAAATCATGAATTTGATCTAAAATGTTATAGAAGGAATGTCTTCATTTTTAGCAAAGCCTTTGTCTTTTTTTTTTTTTCCCCTGTAGTCGGCTTTTCTTTAAAAGCATTTCAAAAAAGGAAATACGCATTTCTGAGAAATGAAATCTGTTTAAACTTTGTTCTGGTTGTCTTTACATTCATCCAAGTAAAAAAGGAGAGAGGCCACGAGATGCAGAGGTGACATAGTTATCCCCAGAATTTGAGGTGAATCTGGAGGTTGAGTCCCTTCCTATCCATGTTGTGGTGAATCTTTGCAAGTAAAATGAGCCTGTACCTGATGTGTTCACCTTCTCAAAGTCAACCATGACTTCTGCTGTAAGAACAGAATTTTGAATTTGCAATGAAGGCAAACAAGTTCTTGGTGTATTACAGACCCTGCCCATCTCCTTTTTGAAGGACAGGTTTTTATTCACCTAATTTATTCAAGATCTACATGAACTTCTGTGGGTGGTTTTTAAAAACACTGTACTCCAAACTCAGCTTAGCTTTCATTGCTGTTAATTGCCTCCCACTGAAGTTCAAGTGGGTTCTGAAGTGTGTGGAGAAGGTAAAAGAATGTCTGAAGTGTTCTGGTATTTAAAAAAAAAAATAAAGGAGATTGACAAGTTGCATTTGTACCTGCAGAGCCCTAACATTTCTTCATCAGTCATGTGGAATTCTCTCTATTGTGCTTTTCAGAAGTGAGACTTAGTTTTTGGCTGTTTTTTCATCATCTAAGACAATTCATAATTCTTTCCTTTCAGAACAGTTTGTTAGAGTGATGGAAAACAGTCAAACACTTCCCTTTTTGTGACTATGAATAAGGAAAAAACTGTTAATATTTGATGATAATCTTTCTGCACTAGACCAAACACAATTCTCTGCAAAGTGAAATAAAATGCAGCACTGCTGAGGAAATGCCCCAAATTCAATAGTCTTTATTTTTAATAATTTATTAATTGTGTGATTATTACTGCAAGTAACACACATGGCAAACTTGACTGCTCCATATATATCATTTTTGGATGCAAAATATAATGTCCTGTGGCCTTTTCCCTTAAAGTTTCTCGTAATTCTCGTGGCAAAATCATCAAAACTACTCAGTGTGACTGTGGCCTTCAGGGATTACAGGCACAAAAAAAGAACGTGGCAGCTTTCCCCTGAACAAGGCAGATTTTACAGCACCTCTACCCAAGCCATAAGGGCTGGTTGGGGCTTGAAACTCAGCAGTAAAATTTCCATCAGTGCATTTTGTTTTCTGTTATTGTCCTCACTGGAGAGAAGTTCACAGAGGATTGGTTTTATGGTGGAGAGAAATAAAAATGTGGGGGGAAAAAATAAAAAAGCCACCAGACCAGTGTTCTTGCATGGAAAGCTACAATTTTAAGAGCTCTCTTGACAGTGTTATTGTTAAGTTAAAGGAAAAAAGTAGCAGTAGAGTAGCTAATGTGGATGCCATGATATCTGTGATTCTATTAAAAATATCTAGTGGGAAGTTGCATTTAATCTTAAATTTCTTTTAATCTGTGATCATTTTAGCCAAAGTTTCTAGGGCAGTGTATAAAACTTGAGGCTGTTTCATGGTTGCATATAAAACTTATTAACAAAGGGTTAATAAAAATACCCAATATTTTCAGATTTTGTGCCATTTAGACAACACAAAAAATGTTGGCATCTATAATAGTGGAATTTGTGTAAAGCTTTAATTATGATTTATGTGTAGGGTCTACAGAAAATATATCAATCAAATAATTGCTAATTTCACTATGCTGAGAAAAAGAAAAATCCCCATTTTTAGGGGAAAAGCAGTAGGATTTATTGCTGATAAAACCAATCATGGAATCATAGAATGGTTTGGGTTGGAAGGGACCTTAAAGCTCGTCTCATTCCACCCCCTGCCATGGGCAGAGACACCTTCCAGTATCCCATGTTGCTCAGAGCTCTGTCCAACATGTCCTTGAGCACTTAAAAAAAGCCAAATTTCTGGATTTTTCTCCCAACACAACTCCTGGAGGTGGTGTAGCTGAATCCCACTGTCCTGAATCCGGAGTCATTCGAGTCTCTGAGTGATGCTCCAAGTTCTCACCCCCCCAACTTCCCACCTTGAAGGAATTTCCCACTGATCTGTGTTACAGATGGCCCTGCCAAGCTCTCAAATAAGAAAGAAGCCTCAGAGCACTAAAAATATTTAAATTGCTGCCTTTCTAGCTTCCTCAGCTGCTTCCTAATGGGCCTTCAAACACAACCCGGGTTGTTTCTCCGAGCACATCGTGCTGCCAGCCCTCACAGACAGATCCCTTCTGCTTCCCAGCTCCTCTCCCTCCCCTGCCTAAGATCAAAATGCAGCTGATTCCCAACAAACAAACAAACAAACAAACAGGCTGCATTCCCTGACAGCCTCTATTCACCAGAGGAACATCATAATGTGTTCCTCTCCCTGCTTTTGTTTCCCAAGTTGTCAATTAGAGGGAGGGAAAGTGTCACTCTCAGCACCAGCTTTATTTCTGTGGCCAGATATTTATTTTTTTTTGTTTGTCAAAGTGTCAGCTTGCCGGGGGTTTTTATGTCTCTGGAAATATTCTTAAAAGATGTTCTTTCATTATCTGGGTGTACATTTAAACCAAGTGCTTTTGAAGTGATGTTGTTAGGCTTTGGAAACTTCTGAAGTTGACAACAATAAAGAAGAGTGGGAAGTCGAAATTCTTTAGTTTCAACAATAATGTTGGGTTGGGTTTTTTTTCCCCTTGTTGTTAAAATACGTGACTTAGAATTTAAAAAAAAAATAAAAAAGGAAAATAAAAAGGAAAAGTTTCCCTAGTTTTCGTATTTTTCACAGTACTACGTGCAAACTTTCTTCCCCCCTCCCATCTGCAGCTCTCCTTGTGGCCTCAGGGATGTGCTTTCCCACCCATCCCTCCCAGCTGCTCAGGAGCTATAGGGATGTAGGAATATGGAGATCCCTCCAGAGTTAGGGATATAGGGTGCCTTCGGGATTTTAGGAGGCTCCACCTGGGCTGAACCTCCTCATCTCACATCTTGTGGTGGAACAAGTCCAGAGAGGAGCAACGGAGCTGGGAAGGGGCTGGAGCAGCAGGAGCAGCTGAGGGAGCTGGGGGGGCTCAGCCTGGAGAAAAGGAGGCTCAGGGGGGACCTTCTGGCTCTGCAGCTCCCTGACAGGAGGGGGGAGCCGGGGGGGAATCAGTCTCTTCTCCCACAGAACAAGTGACAGAGTGAGAACAGGCCTCAAGTTGCACCAGGGGAGGTTTTGAATGGATATTAGGGAAAATTTCGTCATGGAAAGGGTTGTAAAGCATTGGAAGAGGCTGCTCAGGGAAGGGGAAGAGTCACCATCCCTGGAAGTGTTCAAAAACACGTGGATGTGGCACTTGAGGACACGGGTTAGTGGTGAATGTGGTGGTGGTGCTTGGACTTGATGATCTTAAAGGTCTTTTCCAACCTTAACGAGGCTACAATTCTATGTTTTACTGTGCCTGTGCTCTTCCTGGAGGGTTCCAGTAAAACCTTTAATTGCCCCTGAAAGCCCAACCTCATAACCACTGGGTCACCTTGCACCGAGAGCTCGTCTTATTCCATGGGTTCTGTTCACAGGAAATATTTATGAGGTGCCTGTAAAGTAAATAAGAATAGAAACGTGATATTTGCAGCAAAGGGGCTGAGGGATTAAAGCAGCATTTCCTCGCCATGTAAAACATTTCCTGCTGCTGTTTGGCTGCATCAGGTTGGAAAATTGCTGTGGGTTTGCTGCAGCACAACCATATTTTTGAGTGCAGAAGATACCTCAGGTGAGCACCTGAGCAGGGGGATGATGTTCTCGTGCCCATTTTGCAATAAGTGCATAGCTCCTACTTTTTATTTTTACAGGATAGTGAAACCAACTGAAGGATTTCAGGTTTTTTTATATTTAAAAAACTCAAAAATGTTTAAAAAATTACAATATGTCAGGGTGCAGGAAATAAACTATTTATTTTGTCACCATTTTTCAAGATCATTACCAAAAGATTTAGAATGTAGTATTTTAAGCCTTGCAACTGCAGGTGTTCTGACTTAGATTTATTTTATTGTTAGATTGCTATTTCTAATTTATAAATATTATTTATATTTTATTTTATGTACTGATTTTCATGATTACTTAAAATTATCTCAAGAAACCAAAGGAAAACCTCATGTATCCATCCACAGGTGTACTGACTTAGATTTGTTTTATTATTAAATTTACATTTCTAGTTTATAAAAAAAAATTATATTAGTATATTATTTTACATAATGAGTATTTAAAATAATCTCAAGAAACCAAAGGGAAACCTCATATATGCATCCACCTATACAGCTGAACAGGTAGCTGGAGTATATTTGTGTAAATAAATTTCATGTATCCATAAAAACAAATATGGTAATTTTTTATTTTAATTTTATTTTTTAAAAAAATTTTAATTAATTTTAATTTAATTAATTTTTAATTTTAATTTTTTAAAATTTTAAATTCTTTATGGTAAATTTTTACAGAGTTGCCATAGCATGAAAATAATCTTCTTCATAGATGCAGGAAAAAAGTTAAAATATGTTATATTTTTTATATATCTATATTTTTAATATAAAAATAAAGGAGAAAAAGAAAAGGAAAATAAAAAATAAAAATCTCAGGAATTCCTCAAGCTCCCTGATACAACACACACGGATTCAAAGCCTCAGTGACCTTAGCACATGAGTTCTGTTAAAAATAAGCCTGACTAAATCATATTTCCAAGCTTACCTGCAGGTGTAAAAATCACTGGGGCAGGCAAAATATTTTAACTCCAGATGTTTTCATACCTGCAAATCACCTTCCCTCACACCCTCATGGGGTTTTGCAGCCCCCAGTTGCACAGGCAGGTTTTTCTGGCTCAAATGTCACCCCTGCTTGAGAAATGTCAGTGGATCTGATTCCTGTGGAAAGCACACTATGAAATATTGCCTGAGCACAGAGGTGTTGCCTCAGTGAACTTGCAGCCTTTTGAGTTTTTGATGCACCACAAGACCAGCATAAAGATGCTCAAAAAAAGGATTTAACTGAACTTTACAGTCCCAGAGCCTCCCAAGTCTCTCCTCCCCTACCCTCTCAAGTATTATTTGTCACGTATTTTTAGTTCCAATAAGATGATCCTTCTTTGTGGTCATCTTGGTAACGTCCTTTAGTTTCAAAAAGAGTTTTAATTCTAGATTATTTCAGTAAAACCATTTCTTTTTGCTTTATTCTCTTGGTGTTGCCATGCAGAACACGTTGAGATGAAAAGAGGCTCCAAGAAGCTGAGCAGCCTCAGGAGCCCTGAAAGAAGGACCAGCTCAGAATTCCTTGATGGAAAATACCCTCACCCCGACACCAGCTCTCAGTTGTGTTCATTCATGGCAGGGTTTCCTTCCGAACTGGCTACACAGTGGATAAAAAATTAGGTTAATTTATGGAGAAATAGTTCTTGGAATGAACCAGACCATTGAGTTATTCCAGCAGCAGAACTTCCACTCCATGTCCCTGCTTCAAAGTTGGGAAATTTTGAAGTAAACCTCTGTGTGTTTGTGTTGCAGTGATGAAGAAATGCACAGGAAATAAAATAGAGGAAAATAAAATAAGGGAAAGGGAAAAATAAAGGGAAGAGGGAAGGCAAGGCAAGGCGAGGCAAGGTAAGGAGAAAAGAGAAGAGAGGAGAAAAGAGAAGAGAGAAGAGAAGAGAAGAGAAGAGAAGAGAAGAGAAGAGAAGAGAAGAGA